TAACCACTTGAACATCTTCGAACATTCCTTAAATCGCTTATAAATTTTCTAGTCATTAGAGATATAGCTGTTTTCCCGCTTTCGATTTCGCCCGAACGCTGAGAGCATGCTCGTGACTCGTCCGACGAAGAGAAATGTGTACTTGTCCGAAAACGCCAAATGGAGCAAAGAGCCGGGGGTCCGCTTGAGGCAGTTGAAGGAGACCTCTGGACTCACGATCGATCTCGTCGAGTCACCAGCCAGATATTGTTTCAAGTGGCCCCGGCGAATCGCATATCGCTCAGTGTGTAACAATTGTCCCACGTCCGTTTCGTGCAAGTGTCAATTAATCAACGACATCATCAGAGACCGTCGCCGGAGAGAGAGAGCCCATCTTTCGGGAAGCAGGGTGGATCGCGGGATGGAGGGTCGCTAGACTAGTGTTTGTCCTCTTCTTGGATGAGAGTGTTGTCGCTTTTCCTTTTTTTTTTTCTGCTGTCGAATATGGGCGAACTTGTGTGTGCCGTCCGAGGGTTCGAGGGGGAGGGGGGGGGGGGATCGCTACGCCCGATGATCGCGCGCTATGTAACGTGACAAAACCTGACGAGACCCCCCGGGTGTCCCCTTTCGATCGTTCGGGGACGCGTCGCGGAATCGAAATGTATATACATTTGATTGAACGATTGCAGGCAGCGAAGAGAACGTGCTCTCGTACGAGGCCGTGCAGCAGTTGACGATACAATATACGCGTCCCGTGATCGTTCTCGGGCCGCTCAAGGACCGCATCAACGACGATCTCATCTCTGAATTCCCCGACAAGTTCGGCAGCTGTGTTCCACGTGAGTTGTCCGAATTTAATTTTCATTATCCGATTATCGACGTACGTTCTGAGAGCTGTATATCTCTAATCTTTGCCCAATCACATTTGCCCGCAGATACAACTAGGAGTAGAAGGGAATATGAGGTGGACGGACGAGATTATCACTTTGTGGCGTCGAGGGAGCAGATGGAGAGAGACATACAGAATCATTTGTTCATAGAGGCTGGACAATATAACGACAATCTTTATGGAACATCCGTCGCATCTGTGCGGGAAGTGGCTGAAAAGGTACATAGAATTTTAATAACGCAAGATCGATCGTTTTCCACGTTTTATTGCGCCAAAAACGTGTTATCCGTTATTACAGCATAAATCTTGCAGCGATATATTGCCGCAATATATGTTGTTGCAAGATTTGTACTGTATGAATAATAAGAAATTTTAGAAATATATCTAATTATTATTACTTTTAGGGCAAGCACTGTATTCTTGATGTGAGTGGAAATGCTATCAAGAGGTTACAAGTAGCGCAACTCTATCCTATTGCCATCTTCATCAAGCCGAAATCAATCGAGTCTGTCATGTGAGTAATAATCGTCAATCAAACTTTGATTTTATTACGTCTGCCGTCATAATATGATATTAAATGACATTCATAATTTTACAGGGAGATGAATAAAAGGATGACCGAGGAGCAAGCTAAGAAAACGTACGAGCGGGCTCTCAAGATGGAGCAAGAATTTGGTGAATACTTTACTGGTACGTTTAATTTATATTTAAAAAAACTTTCAAATTTGATCCGATGAATAAAATTTATTTAAATATTGTCAAGTTCGTACACAAAGTCAATTCAAGTTATGATTTAAATGATTAAATGCTATATCCTCCGCGTATAATTATATGACTATACTTTGTCGATAGCCGTTGTCCAAGGAGATACACCCGAGGAGATCTATGTGAAAGTGAAGGAGGTCATCTCCGAGCAATCAGGACCGAACATCTGGGTTCCCTGCAGGGACCAGCAGCTGTGACGTCCTGCCCCCCACGCTCAGCACGGGCCCAACGCATGGACCCTGCCACCGAGGCGACAAGCTTAATTATTTAACGATAAATATGATTAAGTAACAACTCTAACACCCTCTCCTAATCCCTCTTTCCTTTCCATATCCCACGTAGCACGAGATCCCTATTTAAAGGGACAACGCGACGTGAATTGTCGCAGAGAATTTAAGCCGCGAGAAAATACTTAAATGGTAGGGCACACGCGATATCATCGACCATTTCCCCGCAGAGAATTGATAAAGTCAGTCAGTCAGGACGCGTAATTTATTCTCCTTCGAGTTTAAAGAGTCTAATCGGAAGATCGTCGAGGGGAAAACGAGGATATTCGAGCATACGTGCTCAATGTGTTGAATTTTATCACAACCGACGTCTCCGTTTATGGGGGGGGAAAAAAAAAGAAAACGACGGAGAGAAATTTGTAACGTTTATCGCATGATCGTCGATTATTCGTATCGTGATCGTCCCTAATTTTATTAACTAACCTCGCGAATTTAGGGGCATTGTACAATTGCTCGAGATGGTTAGAACGGCGTACGCTGAAATCGAGTTGAAAGAGAGTTCTGTCAAAAATTTGATCGAGCCCTCAACTGCTGAAGAGATGAACGCTTTTTCGGTCATCATCGGGCGCGGTATTTTTTAATGTACTTAAGCGCAGTTGGCGCGCACGCGCCGGGAACGTCGAGCGAATTCGACGAACTCGACGGAAATGGGGAAAACACGGGTAGGAAGAAAGATCGTAAGTCCCAGCGACGTTGTATATGTGTTACACGAACCTCACACTTAAAAGGAATTAAAAGAAACAAGTAAAAAGGAAAAAAAAAACAAGAAAAAAAAAGAAGAAGAAAAACCTCACAGGACAAATCTTTAGACGCTAGAGATATATATATATATATATAACGATATATAATGTTTTGTACAGCTAGATAACTAAGCCAGTAACTGGGTTATGTGCAACATTATATTTGCAGGATGTGCAGGCCGAGGCAAAGGGAGAAAGAGAAAGAAAAGTGAGGGGGAGAAGGAGCAAAAACACTACTGTAATTTAAATATCACTACTAAATTATTATGATAGTAGATATTATTGTAAATACGTATTATATACTCGCGTGTATCGAGATGGAGGGACATCGTAAACAAGTGAAGACAAGGATCGAAGAGGAAGAAGAGGAAAGGTGGAAAGGAGGAAGAAACTCCTAGCTTTTCTTTCGCGTGCGTCTCGTCGATGCGACGTCATTTAGCGTCGCGACGAGAGAGATTTTCACTCCTATAGAAAGCTTCGGCGCGAGCGTAGGTTTATGCCGCTCCTTCGTATCTTAAGGTATAACTCTTGGCACCAGGATCCAGCAGCCGTTGCTGATCTAATGTGAGGTCTAGCTTGCACAAATCTTCAGTGCAATTGGCTGAAGGGAAGAGAAAGAAAAAAAATATTACGCTCGATTTATGTACTTATTTACTTACCGCGGGAGAGTCGTGAAAGGCACAAACGGACAAAAGCGAACGGTTCCAAAAAAAAAAAAAAAGAAGAAAAAAAGGAAAGAAAACGAAAATATCGAGTTCCATCGTAGAGCACTGAGTTTTCTAAACAAAATGGCGATCTTTTTAGTCGACGAATGCGACTCCCGGTAGCAAATTCTCTTGTTTCATTCGTTCGTTCGAGCTGCAAATTTGCGTGTCACGTACGCACGATGCTTTGTCCGCTTGCTCCTTCCGTTTCCGTAGCATTAATCATATGCTAGAAGATACGGTAACAGGTTCTCCCAATGAAACACGAGCGGAAAATCGAATTGTTGCAAACGTGTGAGGTGTCATTACGGTAATTTAATTGTAATATAGTCGCATTGTTGTGACACGGATACGTGAATCGCAATCGCGATGATGATGATGATGATGATAATGATGATGATGATGATGATGATGAACAATGATGTAGCTAGCGCGACGCATGACGATCACTCTTGTCGCCTGGAATAGAGCCGAACGCGTTTCCTTTTCCTTATTTCGTAGTAATGTTCACTCGCGGGGGAAACGATAATATCGATCGCGCGGACATGCTTTCGGGCTATTTTTTTCCTACCGCGAGTCCTAGATTATCATTAAGCGCGATTATCATACGAGATGGAACGAGATACGAAGCGACGAGCTTCGGCTTGTGCCTGAAGGACAGAAGGCCTGGCCTCGCCGAGTTAAAAGATATCTGTCTCGATGTAAAAGACCGTATATATATATATATATAAAGAGAAATAATTACCGCAGACACTATTATACACCTCTATAGTCTATTTAATAATATTACCTATTAAATTGTCAATCTCATGTTCACCTTGTTTCATCGTTTTTAAATAGTTAATAAACGTTTTACCAATTTTACCACTGTGGCACTTGCATTCCTTTCCCAGTTCGTTTCTTCGTACTTGTGTAGAGGGATACGGAACGTTACAATAAAATTATATCAACGACGTTATAGAGTACTTTGTTAAAAGAGCATTTCATATTTGAATATAAATGAAAAAATACTTTTAGTGTGATACATCTTGAAACCGAGTTTAAGTTTAATTATAAACTTTAATACCGCATATTTCGCTGCTGTACTAAAATTGTTTATAATAAAAATGAAAATATAAAAATTGTGATGTCACTTATAACTAGAAAAATATGTAAAAAGAATCGAAATAATCTTGTTATGCACTTAATGTACTTTTGAATTCAATGATTAAATATGATTGGGGTCGATGGAGAGGAATAAGAATTTCAGTAAAAATACTTGTTTTTATTACATCGATCGGATAACTCATTAATGTTATTAGCGAAAAAAAATCACAAATATTTTTTTTCTTCGTTTAGAAAGTTATTCGTCGGGTCCATCGTGACTCGCTTGTAACGACTACGGCAATGACAATAATAACGATATTTCCTCTTTACACGAATCACAGTAAGATTCTAATTTGTTCATCTTCAGCTTCAACGTTGTTTCGAACTAAATCTCTGAAATAAAATATATATTTGTATATATATATATTTATTTATATTTATTATTCATATTTATATATATATATATATATATATATATATATATATATATATATTTATATATTATTTATATATAACTTCTTGTTTTTCTTCATCCGCTATTAAAGCAGCAGCATTAACACTATTTTAAAAGTTTTTTTGTTTTAATA